TGCTTGTAAGGTGAACTATATGTATTTTATGAAATGGTTGTAGGATTGAGTTGATGAATTGAAAATAATGAGACTTATATGTTTGTAATGTAATATATAACGAATGTACATTCGTTATAGGAATATTGGCCTTAACATATTGGATAAAGTTTGAGAAATATTGGCCTAAGATAAGAAAAGAAAGAGAATGGGTTTTTGCCTTGACTCTATGTTGTGTGAAGGATTTAATGTGGCTTTTAGAACCTAGTATCCAAAATGTTTTTGTATCTTAAATCGTCTTTGTTTAAAAATATAAAAAAAGGGCAAATTGGCATGTTTCCTATTGTTTTGTTCGCAATGTATAAATGTAAGGTGTATCTCTTGAATTGATGTAAGTATTTAAGGACTTTAGCATTGTGTCGTAGGTTATTCTTCTAAGTTCATGCTTTAAGAATCGATTTGTTATTCTTCTAAGTTCATGCTTTAAGTTCAAAGAATAAAAGATTCATGCTTTAAGTTCAAAGAATAAAAGAATGTCGATATAGAATAAAGAATCGTTTTTTTAGTATCCTTTAGAAATGAGTTAACTTATAACTTTAACGAGTAAAGTATCGTCATAATGTATTATATTGTGAATGTATAGGTTTATTTAATTGACCGAGATTAAAATATAACTATAATGAAGATTCATTTGTTATGGTGAATGAAATAACGAATGTACATTCTTATGTATTAAATTAAAACTAACTACTTATACGAATGTTGTGCTTGTTAATTTCAAAATATAACGTGTGTTGTACTTTCTAATTTCTTAATAATATGCATGTGATTGTTGTAATTTATGATTGATGTTATACTTCTTAATATTGTGATTGAATTTTCTACCGTTTTATGACATGTTGTCTCTCTTCTATGCTTTTAGGAACCGAAAGGGAGTATGCTTTCAATATACCTCCTACATGCTCCGGAGTCGTGACCAATAGGTGCGACCTCAAGGTTGTCGAGCATGTATTTAAGAATCTAGATGATGAACATCAAGATTTATTTGTGGAATCTTGCTTCCGGCCACTAGTGCACATTCCGGAGTTGAAATTGTCGTCTCAATTGATCCACCACCTTGTAGCAAGGACCTTGAAATCACCCGACTATGAAAAAGATGCCGTGTGGTTCAAATTTGGAGAAAAGGAAGCCAGATTCGGGTTACAAGAATTCTCTCTTGTAAGCGGTTTAAAGATTGTGGATGATGTGTCTTACGATGTCGCCAAAAGAAGTAGTTCACTTTTGGATTTATTCAAAGAGAAGAAAGCGAAGATAATGAAGAAAGACTTGCTCGAGCAATTTGATGGTTTGGTAGAGAAGGAAGATGCAGATTTGAAGTACAAATTGGGGCTTCTAATTGTCCTCGAGTATGCGGTATTGTCTAACGAGTGCCGGACTCTTGTGGATGAAAGATGGTTTCATCTCGTTGAAGATTTGGAACTATTTAATAACTATCCTTGGGGGAACTTGTCGTACGAGTACACCGTAAAGTTGTTCAAACGGAAGACTTTGCGTATTAAAAAAAAAAACAAATGCGATAAAGTATTCTCTGCATGGATTTCCCCTCGCTATCATGGTATTTTTCTTAATTTGTTCTTATTTATATTTATGCTCTTTTTTATTTATTTATGTTAGTTGTATTCTTAATTTTGTTTTGTTGTTTGCTAAGTAGGTTTGGGCATTTGAGGCACTACCTGAGCTGGGAAGAAAATTTGGTCAAACTTATGGTGGTGGCAGACTTCCAAGAATGATGTCTTGGAAAATGAGTAAACAGTGGCGAAGCGAGCAAATCAGTATGTTTTTCGACGCGTCGGAGGTAATTTTGGTTATAGATAAGTCATTTTATTTATTCTTATAGTTTTCAAAAAACTAATTATACTACAATCAGGTTGAAGTTCG